TGGCTGTACCAGGAGTTTCTTGTTGGTGGGTTAGTGATGGAGCTTAGAGAAATGTGAGGTAGGATCGACTTTTGGCTGTCCATTAATTGTGCTGAACAGGCTGGACTGACATAGCTACCACTCCTTGCTTGAGTTTAGCTTTTCTGAGCCCTATCAGGCCTCCATGCTTTTAAAAATGACTCTTAACAGGAGGGGGGTTTTTGATAGGGAATTGCAGGCACTGAGGTGGTGGTGAGACAGTAACATAACAAAAATGTAAGTGGATTAAGCCCTTAATGCCATGAAAGATAAGGAGATTTGTGTGTCCAGCTGTCTGTGAAACCAAACTGTTGGTTAAGTGCATATGCAAAAAAGGGTTGGATTAAAAAAACAAAATGGGAGAAAGTTTTGTGCCTTCAGCAACATCTCTGATCAGTGCCACCTTGCAGGGACCCGTGTTGAACAGCTTTACCAAGCAGAAAGGTAAATAGCTGGTTAATGAAATTCAATCAGGGTGTTAAATGTAATGATTTCGTGCTTGCACTGCAAGCCTGAAAATAGTGGAGAAATGGTGCAGGAGAACCGACGGTAGCAGCAGAAGAGAGAGAAAAAGCAAACTCAGCCTAATGAACATAAGTAAAAATACTGTAGGTGACACCCCGAAAACCAGGTTTAGTAAATACTCTACATATGTTTGGAAACAGTGGTGGTGTGCACTGGTGGTACCAGGAAGCTGTGATGGCAGACTGGTCGTTTGGTTCTGGAGCAAATAACCCGCGGGACTGTTGATTTTTGGGGCTTAGCTCAGCAGCAGAGTGTGGAGAAGCTGCTCAGTGTGCAATCACATCCATTCAGGGCTGGGATGTTTGAGTCTGAAAGCTTTTTGATGCAAAGGCAGTGGACTTGAGAGTGAAAGCAACTGATCACTACTTGAGTGGAAAATAGAATTTTTTCTGTATTTCACTTACTTATTTAGCATTTAAATATGTTTATTCCTTTCCACTTCCTTTTAAAGTTTGCTTAATAGTGTGTTTAAATGGCGCCTCCTGAAAATTCAGGTATAATATTCAATTACAGCATATTTCGCATTAAAGACTAAAATGCTTGTTTGGTGAAATTATTGAAAATTATTTGCTTTTTTTCAATTCCCTAGTAAAGATGATGAGATCATTCTTTAAAAGTCAGTGAGAGTTGACATGATGGATCATAAAGAACCATTTTGAGCACCCTTGTACTTTAGAAAAAATAAAAGGGCTGCAAGGAATGTGTAACTTCCTTTTATTTTTCTTCACTAGTTATTATATCTCCTTTGGAACCATTTTCTTATTATGACCTATCATGTAAATAATATTTGGACCATTTTTAGTGTACACAGAATCATAAAACTAATTATTTGCTTTGACAACCATTATGCTAGTTATTCATATGCACTTTAAAGGCAAGTTCTCCTGCCTCTTTTGTCAGTCTGTGGTTCAGTGATGTTTTTTAAAAATTATATCATAGAATATACTGCCACATCCAGTCTCATCTTAAAAACCTCCAGGGATGGTGAATCCACCACCTCCTTGGGCAGCCCATTCCAATGTCTGATTACTCTCTCTGTAAACAATTTCTTCCTAATATCCAACGTAAACCTCCCCTGGCAGAGTTTAAGACTGTGCCCTCTTGTCCTACTGCTGGTTGCCTGGGAGAAGAGACCAACCCCCACCTGGCTACAACCTCCTGTCAGGGAGTTGTAGAGAGTGATGAGGTCTCCCCTGAGCCTCCTCTTCTCCAGGCTAAACAACCCCAGCTTCCTCAGCCTCTCCTCACAGGACTTGTGCTCAAGTCCCTTCACCAGCCGTGTTGCCCTTCCCTGGACCTGCTCCAGCACCTCAATATCCTTCCTGAACTGAGGGGCCCAGCACTGGACACAGTACTCCAGGGGTGGCCTCACCAGTGCTGAGTACAGGGGCAGAATCACTTCCCTGGTCCTGCTGGCCACACTGTTCCTGATGCAGGCCAGGATGTCATTGGCCTTCTTGGCCACCTGGGCACACTGCTGGCTCCTGTTCAGCTTCCTGTCAATCCAAAATCTCTGTCTGACTGCTCTCCAGCCACTCTGTCCCCAACCTGTAGCACTGCAGGGGGTTGTTGTGGCCAAAGTGCAGGACTCAGCACTTTGTTGAACCTCATCCCATTGGAATCAACCCAACTCTCCAGCTTGTCCAGATCCCTCTGAAGAGCCCTCCTGCCTTCTAGCAGATCAACACTCCCCCCCCAACTTGTTGTCATCTGCAAATTTGCTAATAGTGGACTCAATCTCCTTATCTAAATCATCAGTAAAGATGTTAAACAGGACTGGGCCCAACACTGATCCTTGGGGACGCCACTGATGACCAGACACCAACTGGATGCAGCTCCGTTCCCCACCACTCTCTGGGCCCAGCCCTCCAACCAGTTCCTGACCCAGCACAGAGTGCCCCTGTCAAAGCCATGGGCTGCAGCTTTTTCAGGAGAATGCTGTGGGAGACGATGTCAAAGGCTTTGCTGAAGTCCAGGTAGACACATCCATAGCTGTCCCCTCATCCACCAGGCGACTCACCTGGTCATAAAAGGAGATCAGGTTGGTCAGGCAGGACCTGCCCTTCCTAAACCCGTGCTGGCTGGGTCTGATCCAGCCTATAAGTGCTGAGTGATTGCACTCAGGATCTGCTCCATAACCTTGCCAGGCACTGAGGTCAGGCTGACGGGCCTGTAGTTTCTCAGATCCTCCTTGCAGCCCTTTTTGTGGATCGACATGACATTTGCCAACTTCCAATCAGCTGGGACCTCCCCAGTGATCTAGGACTGTTGGTAGATGATGGAGAGCAGCTTGGCAAGCTCTTCCACCACCTCCCTCATCCCCCTTGGGTGGATCCCATCTGGTCCCATAGACTTTTGAGGATCCAAGTGGCTCAGCAGGTCACTAACTGTTCCCTCCTGGATTACAGGGGACTATTCAGCTCCCTGTCTCTGTCTGTCAGCTCTGGAAGCCAGTAGTCCTGAGGACAACCTGCCTTACTGTTGAAAACTGAGGCAAAGGAGGTGTTAAGTACCTCAGCCTTTTCCTCCTCTTTGGTGACTATGTTCCTCCCCATGTCAATCATTTATACTGTATGATTGTTCATACAGTATAAAAGTGAATTAAAAAAATTCCTCTTCTCAAGAGTATTAGTCAGTACAAGCTCCATAGAAGTCTTTTGATGTCCAGTGTTTTTCATAATGCCTACTAAAGAGTTTCTTGTATCAGCAACGTGGAAAGACAAGCAAATGAAGAGGAGCATTGTTTTGGATGGTTATGCCAGGTCCTTTAATGTGAGCTCTACACTCAAAATCACACAGTAACCAGTGGGGTTAGAAGGGGCCCTGTGTCTTAAGGCCAGACACGCTGAAGGAGAGATGTCTCTGCCAGGGGACTAAGTGGTACTGGACCTGTGCTTTGCAAACATCATAATCCATTTCCCAGCCACACAACATTCAACTTCCTTTATTTGCAGGCTTTAGAGTTTCCATCAAAAAGTGTTGTGTACTGTCAATGTGTTTTCCCTGGGAAAACATGATAATGATGCTTTAAATATGATGCTTGAATACCTAGTTGTGGTAGTATGAGGCTTTCTCAGTGGTAATGTAGACACATCTTCGTATACCAAACCAGGTTAGGTGGCACTGCTTCCCACTGCTCTGCTTTGTGGAAAGTTGTAAAAACAAGAATAAAGGGTCAGATAAATCAATTTACTATTTCTGTGGAAGAGTCCTCTAAATTTTTAGTAGCTGTGTGGTACGTTTTTATTAATAGGCCATAATGTACCTTTCGTCATCATGTGATATTTCCACAAGCTTGACGACAGTTAACCTATTTCCTGTACTTACCAGACAGTGGTTTTGGCACTGTCTATACTCTGCAGTTGTCATGCTGTCTCTTTTTACCCATCTTTCCAGCAACTGTTCTGCCATTGTTGGAGGGATATTAAATTCTCTGAGTGTGTTTTTGTTGGTAAGTTGTTGGTATGCTGTGAAAATGCCTAATTTAAGGTATTGATTTGACTTTTTCTTTGCAGGGAGCCTGATTTCTCCACTGCCTGTGTAGGTGATCTCCAAATGTAGGCACCTCAGACAGAGTGACTCTCTAAGACAGTGCTTGTATAGTATCTACTGTGATGCCAGCCCTTTATATCTTATCACTATAGAAAAACGAATTAGTAACTGCAACTCATGCTGCTCAAGAACCTGGAAAGCTCAAAGGAGCTGAAGGAGTAGAAAAGGGACAACAGGTCTTGTGCAGAAGCTGAGCCTTGTTTAGTGTTGTTCACAGGAGTTTTTTGGTTCCAACACACCAGTCTTTTGGTTTGGGATTTGGTTGTGCTGAAAAGCCACAGCAAAACTGGGTGGGTGCAATCATAACCCCTGACCAAAAATGTTTCTGTGTAGTAGTGATGAATCAGGAGTTCCAAGAGGGTGAGTGGTTCTCCTATGGATTATGTTGTTCAAATATAAATATCCTCTACATGAGGAAGGTGTACAAGTACAATGCAACCAGATTTGTCTATGAAGTTCCCTCTGACTTCTTCCATACTCAGGAAGGCATAATATATTGGTATTGGGAATTTTTCATTGGTTTTCCCCTAAATTCACAAGCCTGTGAGTTAGCGGAGGTGGAGCCAAAGAGTCAGCATAGTTAAAGCTCTTGCAGGAAAATGCAGTACCTGTATCCTCATTTTGCCATTGCAGATTTGCTTTTGCCATCAAAGTGCATGTTGTGTTTCCTTGTCCACACGACTCCTCACATGTGCATGGTGGTGTGAAAAAGAAGTTGAATTGGTATATTGATTAAAACCAAGCAGTCATACCATATATATTAATGTGTTTGCTCTGGCTTCCCATTTGGACTGGAATTCTGGTCATAAGGCAGTAAGCTTTCCAGGTGACTGTGTTTTATGTACCCAACCATTCTTTGGTCTCTGACCCTACCTAAAAATAAAATATCTGATTCTGATTGCTAGAACCCCTCTGATTGCTGCGGGAGTTATTGGTGGCCTCTTCATCATTGTCATTGTGGGCCTGACATTTGCAGTGTATGTTCGGCGCAAAAGCATTAAAAAGAAGAGAGCACTGCGAAGATTCCTGGAGACTGAGGTGAGAGTGCGCTGCTTCTCACAGATTATTTGAAAAGATATGCAGGTCTGTTCTGCTTTTTTATTAAAGATGTTAAGGTCTTCAATCCAGTTACCAGAGAGATCTGTAAAAATCCTTTTGTTAACTTGTGCGGACTAAACTAATGGAAAGAATGAAGCTATTTCAATATTCTAGTTTTCTGTACATATATAGATTCATGGCTTCGGAAGACCAAAAGAAGTTCCCCATGATCACAAAGGCATGTTCCACGATGTTCCTGAACTCCCATTCTGCTCTCAGCTGAACATCTGTCCTAGTTCATCAGTACATTTAGCAGTTCTCATGATTAAATATTACAGGTTCTCATTCAGTGTCTACTTAGGTCAGCTTTTAAGACTAAAGTAAGTTCCTTCAGCAAGTTCTGGTACAAACTTAAGCTCATCAGGAATACTTAAATGCAGAGATTGTCACTTACCGTTGTTCCCAGTGCCTACAATGCTTTTGTGGTCCAGATTTTGCCAAGTCTGTAGTCATGATCAGTAATAATAATGTATTTTATTAAGACAAGATACTTCCTGCAGCTTGATCAATTGAAGTTCTACTGGCAAAAATATGCAGTGGAGCTATAGCAGAGTTCTGTGCCCACTTCATCCTGCTCTTTGAAACATCAGTAGTGGAAGGGCAATCTAGGAAGTATATTTAAACATAACGTTAAATTGTTGTCTGTCAGCTACAGCAAAGGTGATTGCTGCAAGTCTTCTCAGTGTCTCAGACCTTGAGACACTTTGCAAATTATAATATTTTTAAATTAGAGTCCCCTTTTATAAGATAATAAAGTTTGGGAATACTGTTAGCTAGTGAATCTTGAGTAAGGCTTTATTAACAAGGCTGTTTGCAGTTCTATTCCAAGGGTTCTGCTCCCACTCTTCTCTGTGGTAGAGCCTGGGAGTAAACGATTTATACATCCCCAATCTGTTTGCATAAGTATCTTTATGCTTGGCTAGAATTTGTATTGCTTGGTAAATACTGTTCAGCTGTATAAAAAGCTTAACAATATTCAATGCCTTTAGATACATAAATCTTGCCATTGTATCAGCTCCTACTTAAGCATAAATTATTTTAGCAGTAGTTCTCACTGCATTTGGGAAGCACTGACTTTGAAGTCCAGCTATCATTCTCCATTTTGTCAGATAAAAACTGTGGCTGACAATAGTCCTTAGGGACCAAACCTCCTACTGAACATGTGGGGAAGCTGTTGTCTTGGCTTGGAAACTGAAGATTAAGTCAGGAGCAGCCCAAGATAAACACACAAGCAACATAGCTTCAGGTGAAGTCTCTCTCTCTAGCTGGAGACTATAATAGACCTATTCTTTATGTAGATCATTCTCCATAAAACTCTGTGAGCCTTTTTTAGATCTCCACAACACATTTCCACTTCTCCCTGCCATATCTGTATTGGTGGACTGTGGCACAAAAGCTCTTTTCATCCTTCACAAACTGAAACTACAGAAGTATGCTGCCAACCTGCCTAATTTTCTTTTACAGTAAGCCTTTCTTTTATGGTATAAGTACTGGACATCTAAAGTGGGAAGGAGGAGGAAAGAGAAATCACTCTAAAATCAGTGCAGCTTGCAGATTATTTCTGTGATAACCTAACTTGTTGCTGTTTGGTTATGTTGTGTTTTCTTACCCCATTAATTTCCAAATACTGGTGTTTTTACCTGAACAAAACTAATTAATCTGATCAACTAATCAAGTAGTTCATTATGCTCTAAGGCCATAAAAGTAGTTCTCAAACTGCAGAGCATGATGCATTTAGCCTTGTCAACAGGCAGCTTTGAAATGCTGCAGTGGTTTCAAAACAATTTGAGTAGGAGTAGCCATGAATTATTTTCCTCATCCTGTAAAGGCAAAGGCTGTTTTTCATTGTTTAGAGTATTGTCCTTTTCATGTATTTTTAATTTATTTTAAAGAAGCATTGTTTTTTTGGCAGAGATGGTATAACACTGAGATCTGAGAGCATTTTTAACGGAATGTGCCATTGTGGTTCATTTACAAAGTTTCTTGAGACATCTTGAACAAATTGTTTAATTGCAGTAAATTAGTGGCTGTTATAAATTAGTGGTCTGCTATAAGGTGTTTTCTCCTTAAAGCTGTCCTCTTCTGTGGTAAAACAGAAGTTCAAAAAAATTGTCCCTTGCCCAAAACAGAATAAGAATGTGATGAGCCATTAAGTCAGGGCTATTAAAAAGAAATATGGTCAACTTAAAAGACACTAAAATGGGAAAAAATAGAATGTGGTGCATTGATAATAAATGCTATATTTCTGTCATGTAGAAAATATTTCTACTGCCTCCATTAGCAAAAGTCCTTGGGTATGTTATTGTGACACCAATTCAATTTCCAGTTCATAATTCCATCATGGGATTTCTGGTGGAAATTATTACATGTTGGCTGAGGACTTGTTTTTTCAGGTCTCTTGGTTTTGTAGCATTGCTCATTTGCTTTTGAAGGTGAGAAACCCCTCCACAAGTTGGCAGGTCAGTGGTCAACAGATCCCCACCACTGTCTTCTTGTTCCAGCATTTATTTGGATTGGTTGTTTTCAGTATAAACTTCTGATGGGTCTTCACATTTACAAATATTTAAGATTGTTGGATCTTCCTTCATAGCTTGTGGAACCCTTGACTCCAAGTGGCACAGCACCCAACCAAGCACAGCTTCGAATCCTAAAGGAAACGGAGCTGAAGAGAGTCAAGGTTCTTGGCTCTGGAGCCTTTGGAACTGTATACAAGGTAAGAGTCTTAACTATACAGCAAAGAGTTCCCTCATTTAACTTTGGAACAGTCAAGTTCTGCACTGCAGTGAAGCACCCCATCCCATGGATGGGTTCATGAGTTCTACATACCTGGGATAGACAGGATATTGGAATTATGTGGGAGAAGCGCATCTCCAGGCTCAGGTGTTGACTTAAGTTTTAATCAGACATGCAAACACTATTTCTTGCTGAGCAAAGGCATTTCAGCCACAATCATTCTTGTGTGCAGGAGGGCTACACAGACAGGATTGTCTTGCTGTTGAAGTGCAGTATCAGAGTTTGTCATTCTGTTCTTACATAATGGCTTTGCAGTACACTTTTGGAAAGCTAAACTTTGTCTTTCGTTTGACAAGTGTCACGTCAGTCTTGTAATAATAATAATACTTTGTAAAATGATATCATTAGCTAAACTGTAATACTTCCTGCTTCTTCCATTTAAATAGAAAAGATGAGTTTTGTAAATGCACCTTTTAAGCGGGATGTGAGCGCGGAACCCACAAGGGAAAAGTACTTCTGTTAGAGATTTATTTATTTTTTAAGATCTGTTAGTGGTGTCCAAATCTCAGAGGCATGAAGTCGGGTTTATTGGGCAAGTCAAACCACTTACCCAACCCTTTGGGAGCAACCCACACCTGCCAAATCAGTGTGATAGGTCAGAGTGCTGAAGGAGGACAGACACTCATCTGTCTTCAAACTGGGAAGGAAAGGAGGGAAGCACAGACCAGGTCACTGTAACTACAAGCTCATGGGAATAGATTTATGAATAATCAGTTTGAATATACTTAGATGATAATAGAGATGGGTACCTTGAGGCTGACAAGAACACAGCAATAGTCAAGAAGGATGGAAAAGTAGCCAAGACATACACAATTTGTGAATTTTAATTTTAAAATTTCCTTTTTAGCCATCTGAGCTTTTAATTCTCTGGTATCAATTAATTAGAGAAATAGTCCCTAAATGTTTCACTCTAAATATATTGTTCTCGGGGTGTCCTGTTCCTGCATGATGTTGTGACCTGGTGATAATCAGTTTTGAAAGTTTCCAGATAGCTTCAGAGTTGAGCATCAGAATCCAGACAGAAAATTCAGATTTTTGTTCAATTTTATCTGAATCAGTAGTCAGTGGGAAAAGTACATCACTGACGATGCTACCATTACTCTTTAGAAACCCTCTTTTGGAAGGAAAATCAAAGGGGCTTGATGAGGACTTTCACTGATACAGCATGGTTCATTTTACATCAGGGTTTACTTTTGGTGCAAAAAGTAGTTTTTTGGGATTTGTATTATTTTTATAGCTTTGTGTATTCTCAGTTCTGAGGTTCATAACTGATCTCCATAATGCATCAAAAGAATGCATCAAAAAGAACTGTAACTCCTAAATGAAGTTTCTGATTGTTGTCTTATTAGTCTTCTCTCACCTTTTCTTCTTTTTCTAGGGTATCTGGGTCCCTGAGGGAGAGACCGTCAAGATTCCTGTAGCCATTAAGATCCTTAATGAGACCACTGGTCCGAAAGCCAATGTGGAGTTTATGGATGTAAGTAAGACATGATCAGTGTCTTGAAGTTTGGCCAGGGTTGGTGGGTGGTGTCATTCTGTAGTCCATGGAGATTAGAAAGAGGAATTCCTGACAGTTTTCTTTCCTTATGTTTAAATACCAGGAGGCTTTTACACAGGACCTGTAAGGGCTGGGTTTTTGATTCCAAATGTCATGGACCCCCTCAGATATTTGGAGTCTTCTTATAAATGGTTTTCTGATTGGTGTAAGGCTGAAACTCCTCCATCTCATGTGCCACATATTGTATGTTCCTGTAACAGAAAAGCTAGAGACACGAGAGAAGGAGTTGCAGGGGAGCATCTTGCCATGCATGCAAGTATCTACTGGCACAGAACTCAAGGAACATAAATTTATCTCAGTTCTCTTCTGCTTCACTGTTCTGAGAACTAAACACCAAGAGTCTGAGGGCTGTGAGCAGCAACAAAGCATAACAGGGAGGAGGGGTAAAACCCTAAAATATGCTGGATTTAAAAGCCCTTTTGCTTTAGCAATCTGCAATACCATTAATAAGAGGTCAAGATCATAATTTCCATTAATGTTCTGTGATCACAGTGACTGTATACTCAGTATTCAGCTCTGTGTCAAGATCAAGCCTCATTGACACCATGAATGTCTATATCCTGTTCCGTGACAATTTTTTGACAAGTCACAGAAAGTTGTGCTTTTTTGTAAATCCCTCTTGTGAACTTGAAAATTACATAGGACTTTTAAGTCTTGCGGATCTGTTCAGTGTATAGACCTAATTGGGTTAGCATTAAAGAGACTGTAATCCGCAAGGAGAATGTACAGTTATGGATTCAGCTGTTTCATGTGTGAGTTTATAGGCAGTTGAAGGAAGGCTGTATAGAGGAAGGGATTTCCTGTGCTTTTGACAGAGCACTGCACGTTTTTGTTGATTACATTCAGTTACCATTATGCACAATAATAAAAAAAGGCTATGTCAGCCCTGTTTAAAAGCAATAAATTGCACTGAAGGGATAATTAGTATCAGTGATGTAGGTTCCAGCCTAAAGGTGAGAGAATGTTATTACTATATGAAAGTCAGTGGAACTGAGCAACTTGCACCAGCCGAGTCTGATCTGATAAAGTAATAGTAATATCTGCTGCTCTGATGCTGATTTACCTTGAAGCGCTCTACAAAGAAAATATAAGGTTAAAAGGCAAATTTGCTTGTCTGAAGTTTCATAGTTTAGCTTGTTCAGCAGACTTAGTTCAGCAGACCACAGTTCCCTCCAGTGTCCTAACACCTGATAAGTGGCTCAGAAATGATGGAGGAGTTTTGGCAACTCTAGAGATTTGTAAGGTACAGTTACACTAGGAAAGGTCTCTCTCTAAATTAGAAGTTTCTCATGAGCCTCTGACCCAGTGGTAACAAGGTGAGAGAAAAGTTAAAGTTGTTTTTAGTTCCTGAGGTTAAAAATAACCTTTAATTTGTTTTTAATCATAATAAAAGAGAATTGGACTTCAGAATTAGCTGATGCAAGTGACAATAAGAAGAAATAATAAGGTTTTGTATCAATGCTGGTTTTGATATATGTACAGTGGTCTGTAATCCTTTGCTGTACTGCATGGGTGAAGAAGATGATTTAATTTCATTCTTTTGAATAATTGTTCATCCAAACCTGCCTTCCTTGCCTCCTAACCCAGTCATTTATTTCCTGAAACAAGCTACATTCTGAAAGAGTTGTTTATGGTTTTAATGTGACCACTCCTCTCTGTCCCAGAAAAGACATAGTTCTAAATGTTTAAAAATTATAAGCCATTTCAAGGAGATAACTTAAATATCTTTCAGTGAAGAGTACGAGTAGAAAAATGTGTTTGACTCATTCACACTCCAAGACTTTGGTCAGTACAGCTATCCTGATAAAACAGAATACAGTCTACTGATCTTACTTTATGAGGAACATTTAAGTGTATGTATGGAAAAAAATACTTCAGTTGTACTTCAGTAAGAAGAGGAGTATTATGAATATGTTTTAAAGGTACATGGGTGGCTAAATGCTGTTATGAACATAGTGGGGTTAGGTCTTTCTTAAATAAGGATCTGACATGTTGGTAGGGAATGGGAAGAGGAGATTAGTGGGAAGGAGGTGTCATTATATGAGTCACACCCTTGACTTTCATTTTTTTGTCCTTGTCAAGTACAGGTGTGCTTCTGTCAGCAATTACTTCTTCCCTGGATTGTGAATGTCCTTGTGCTTGCAAGTAAAAGTTACCATTCCTTTTAGAGAGGCTCTGGAAAACGGAAAACCTTTGGTAAACAGTGATTTGTGTACAGAGGGAGCACTTGGGACACTTGAGTGTCTACAGAAATAGCTGGTATAGATCCTAGTGGCACTGTCCATAGCTCTGGTTAAAACTTCTAATGTTGGCAGAATGCAAGTCTAAAAGTGCTCTGCGAGCTCCTGAAATTCTGCTAAATGTTATGCTGAAAGAGTAAAGAACAACAATTTGGCTACTGGACTGTCATTTGAGCACCCAGAACACCCGCTAATGGATCAGTAATGACTATAATGATATAATGCGTGATATTAGACCTACTAGGGCCAAATGCCTCCCACCCGTTCCCATCAGGGGATGATGAATTGACCATCATCAAAAAACACATCCCTTATTTGGAATTTTTCTTTGGGGAGTTGCAGCAAGTCTTTTTTCCAGGCTTTCTCCCCACATTCCCAGCCAGCTCTTTTCTTTTGGTCTGCTCGCTGCGTTCTTACATAGTTTTTATCACTGCAGCAGTCCATGTCTGTTACAACAGTGCAACCTGGAGTATGCAAAGTAACCCAGACTGCCTTCTCCAGGGCAGAACCAGAATGTACGCGTGGGCTTTTATGGATTTGTTTTCACCACGCTGAGGATGTTGTTACAGTTTTGTAAAATGTAGGTTTACATTTTTTCCACGTGTTTCTGAGTATGTATTATCTCTGGAATAATTTCAGAGTCTAAAATACTTTCCTCTCAGTTGTTGAAATGGTTATGTGCTTAAATTGGGGGGATATAGTTTCTCCTCCCTACTTGGCTGGTCACACCTCTTGTCCCCAGAAGGGGGCTGAAATTTGAATCCAGAGTGCAGGTGCTCTTGCTACTGGTCTGCCTGCAAGTGTGCCTGGGAGGGAGTCACCAGCAGACACAGGGGTATCAGGAGGGAACTACATCCTGCTCCTCACCCCAAGGCTGGTAACAGAATTTAAGAAAGGCCTGAGTTTTAGGCAGGGAAGACATGCTTGTACTGAGGCAAAAAGGCAAATATGCAGCTAAGAGGCTACTTGACAGGGGAATAGGGACTTATTTTAAAGCCCTGGGTCAAAGCCACGAGCTGCCCAGGTGTTTTACTTATGTCTAAGACTCCAAAGTAATTCACTGTGGAATATTTTGCAAAGCCTTGCAGTTCTTTAATACCTTGAATCTGCATAAAGAGAAGAAGCCACAGACTTTTCCTGAGACTTCTTTTAATTTAGTAAGAAAATAAGCATTTTGGCAAAAGGTTCACAGAAGTAACATACAGCCAAGGAGAAGCATTTCACCAAAGCACCCAGCACATGACAACCACAACTTAAGTAAAATACAACCCATCAGTTTTAAGTTACCCACAAGAGACTAAGAAAAGAATAAAGGAAGAAAAAAGATTAAGAAAATAAAGAAGGAGTAAAGAAAGAGGTTAGAATAAGAAAATTGTATAGCTGCCACTCAGAGGTCACATGATGATGGCAGAGAGTTGGCAGTTGCTATTACAATAAGCAAAAAACCAAGAGTTCTATCAATATAGAATCTCCGATCTATGCAGGGCACCATCTTCCACCTCGTGAGTCCTAAAACTGCAGGAAACCAGGACCCAGGGAAAGAGTTTGTGAAATGAGTCTGTCCGTTGCAGTGTTTAAAACAGTTCTTTCACCTTCATCCGTGGACAGAATTCTTTGGTGAGGTGCAGCACTACTTCATAGATTCTTTGCTTATTTAATAACAACACATAACTTAAAAAAACCCACCGTCATCCCTCCCACCAACCAGATTTCAGGGGAAATTTCAGGGTGCATTGTGAAAACAATTTCCCTTCCTCAGCCTCAATTTATTTGACTGTTATGATAAGTGATAAGTCAAGTAGCCATTGGCCTCATCAGATGGTTTAACATTGAGCCAGATGCCTGACTGGTAATGTAATAGATTCTAAAGTCATGCTGCAGTTGGAGAGCATAGCAAACAGCCTTTGAGGCTGAAAAAATAAACTTGTCTTGAGGAAACAGACAGCTGATGTCAGTCTTCCCTCTCTAGCCCTCTAAGACCAATGTTTCCAGCAAGTAATCCTGTGAGCTCTGATTCTGTCCAGGGTTTTGATCCACTTACAAGTTTAATCTATCCTCTCTGAACTTAAATGCTCCATTATCTGTTAGGAAATAATTAGAGGCTGCAAGCACAAGTCAGCATACATAGAGTTCCTTGGGAGTCCCTGAGCTCATTGAGATGAAGACAGTTTGACTGATGGTGGTCAGCTGATATTGGGCCAGGAGCTAATAATAGAAGGCAGCGCTGCTTAGCTAGGTGAGAAAGTTAACTTGGGAAAAATTAAACTGAAGGGTTTGGGATTTATGGTTGGAAATAAATTTCCCATTCTCATTTGTTTCCTGGTAAGAGAGCTTCAGAGGCAGTTATTTCTTCTATGGTTTTATAATTAAGATCTAGGGGCTTCTTGCCTTGGCCCGGACTCAGTGCAGTTCCCTTCTGTCTGTAGGAGTAGTGTTTGGTGTGCAGGAGAGAATTTGTCACACAAAGTGCAAATATGTGACAATGACCTCCACCAGGCATGCAGTAAACAAATTAAAGCTGCATATAAGGGGCTGATACCCACATCTTTTCTTTACATCTGGCCTAATTAACTAAATTAATAAAGCAGTCAGATGTGCTGCAGAAAGAAACAGCTTTTTCTAAATTGTCTTATACTAAAGACAAGTCCTTGACTTGAGGATATCAGTATCAAACTTATC